CAATAATTCTTTCATACTCTATCAACGGCCTCTTAAATAAAACCAATTGTTGGTTTTTCATCACCGTCCACAAGCCTTAGCACTTTGACTAGGGGTTCATAAACGTTTATGATATCAACGGCTTTTTTCCAAAAATCTTTTCCCAAAACAATTTTTTTGGCTTCATAAGCAGGCCCTGATTTCTGTTGTCCCCATTTTAATTCTCTGAATTCATATATTTTAATAAGAAAAAAATCAATAACATAATTTAACTTATTTAAAAATTGGAACTAATAAAATCATTAAATATTGTTATATTTGAGTAATCAGTAATTGTATTAACTAATTATAAAATACTAACCTTTGACTTAAACATCTCTCTCAAACCTTGTTTTTGCCTTGTTATCTCCTCAAGTTGTATGAAATGAGTAGTGAATCGAGTAAGACCAGGGCGAAGAATTTGTTTACCGTGAGTATACTTCTTCATCAAATCAACAGTCCAAATGTGATTATAAATGAAGCATATCACTTTCTTCGCTTCCTCTAACACTTTTGCTACACTAGACTTTTTTCCAATATCCACAAGACATAAATCTAATAAGTGAGTTCACATGAGGTCCAATAAAGATGGTTTCTTTTTAACATTAATCTTTTCCCAGTGGCTTTCATTGTTGCCTCCTTGTCGGTCACTATTTAGATAATGTATTCTTCCCCAATTTCTTCAACAACTATGTCTAACAAATTATAGTAGAATTCAGCATCTCTACTACGAATGCTCGATACATCCATAGATTTCCAAAATACAGTTCCTTTACTACAATAAACAATGAAGTTGATGATGTGCATTTGATTTAAACTATTGGTCCAACCATCACACATCAGAGTTGCACCCAGTTGTTTCCAATATGTCTTCAGTTCATTTACTCATTCACAAACTTGTTCATACTCTGATGTCAAGTACACATTTGAAATCTCATAAGGTGTTGGAAGCTTTACACCTTGTCCAACTTCCATTGATAGTTGAATTAAGTTATACAACCAAGGCGAGCTTGATAATCGAAAAGGAAGGCGATCGTATATTATAAATTTCAAGATCGCTCACCAATCTTTTTACGCAATGTCTTTAAAATAGACTCGCTAACCTTTGGTTGTCTTGAGCTTTTGCACTTAATCAATTCAGGTATAGTTCCCCTTGAACTAAATTCAGATCTTTCTTCATGATATCTTCCACGTGATCCAAGAGAAGAAGATCGTCCTTCTTCATAAATGTTATCCCAACCACCCGTAATTCGTCTGAATTCTACGCCATCCGTGTTGTGATAGGATACTTTCTTGAGTGGCTTATCTCATAGAAGAAACATCATCTAAGAATTCATCCTCTTCTTCCCTTAATTGTGATAAGAATTCATTTGTTCTCCTTTTTTCTCCATTTTCTTTTCCTTGGATTCTTTAAGTAATTTCATCATGCTCTCTCTAATGATACTTGTAATCAAATAAATATAATTCACACTATTAATAGTGTATAATCTTTATTATTAATATTTAAAAATAATTATAAAGTATCTTTTTTCTATAGAAATTATAAAGTATCACTATCACATAGTCACATACCAGTAACATTAGGACATGGTGCGACTTCACCGGTTTTATGAGCAATGTGCTCTTTAAACCATGTTATTCCTCCTTTCACAACTTTTCCACAAAGTTTACATACCACATTTTCTTTCGTATTTGGAATTGGATCTCCAATGTTCCAATCTATATTTCTACTCGGTGCACCTTCTAATCCTTCAGTCGGGAACTTTTCAATATGTGGTGGCATGCTTCAATTTCAATAAAAACTGAAATTAATATATACAAAAAGTTAAACAAAAATCTAATTTAATTTTAAACTTCAATTATTATTTAATTATAATAATTTAACATGTTAATAAAAATGTAATGAAATACGAAAAATGAAGGTCGAACGGAATTTAAATAAATTTAAAGAACATAAAATGATTAAATCAAATAGAATTAAAATAAAAGTGTAAAATTTAAATATTTGAAATTTTGATTACTAAAATTAGGACTGAATTAAATGAAAATTAAACTTTACTATCTAAATTAAGAATAAAATTAAAAAATTAAAAAGAATTAAGAATTAAATTCTAAAATGCTAACTCATAAATCTTAAATAAAATATATGACAATATTAGAAGTTTAGATTCTTTAGAACCTAGCTTGTAAAACAAATTTTCTTCACTGGTGCATGAAATAATTTTTCCTATTTTCCTTTTTTTAATATAAGTAATTGGCCGACCCCTTGTTCCCATTTCTCTCAAACTATCTTCTTCACTTCAGTTCTTCGTTTCTTTCTTCCCATCTCCATTCCCCAATTCAATCTTCTTCATTTCAACCCCATCCATTTCACTCTTCTTCAATCTTCACTGAATGGAAGATTGCATATTCAAAACCCCAAATCCCCGAGTGAAGATTACATCTTCAATCTTCCTAAGCTAAGCAGCAAAAAATAACTTTTACCTTATTAAATGGAAGCGGGAAGCTTGATCTACTCCTTCACCGGCGGCGAAGCTCGACGGACAGAAGACTTCCTACTGACTGGGCTTTGTTTTTCCGGCTCTTCCCCTTCCCGATTGGTTTTTGGTAAGATGTGTGGGTAATGGATATTTGATTCTACCGTTCACTAAATACTAATAGCCTCTGTTAAATGTTTTGTCCCTGCCCTAGTTATAAGTCAATTATTTTCTTTCTTTTCAGTTTTCACTTTTCAATTTTCAGTTTTCAATATACTTGTGGGCTCACAAGTTGCAGGGAATATATTCCCTTCATTTTCTTTTTTGTTTTTGTATACGGTTGAATGCTTGATTGTAGTGAGAATGTTGATTTTTGTTTTTTTCTTGGAATCACAGGTGAATAACGGTTGTTGCGTCCCGTTATCGGCACAATTGTCCGTTTCCCGTTAAATTGCGGGCGCAATCGACTGAGATTGGTGTGAATTTGTGACCCGTCGCAAAAACCACGAAAAGCGGTTTCGGACGATGGCGCGACCGCAATATCACGGCCACTATTACATTTTCGGAACGCTATTTGATATCCCTAATGCTAATATTTATGTTATCTAGATTTTGACACATTCCAGAATTTTTTTCATGTTATGTTAATTTTTCATGTCACATCATATTCTTTCCATGTTGTGTTCATGTGATGTAATCGTATCCAATGCTACAAGGAATTAGCATGTTCATAATCAGTGGGACAAGGAAAAAGAGAAGTGAAAAGGTGATTCTGAATTGAATCCTAATTAAATAAAAATGCAAATAAATTGAAATCCAGACATAAAAAAATTTCCGCTTTTTTTAATTTCCCCTCAATATTAGGAAACCGAAGAATCAATTGATGAAGATTAAGCCCATCCAGTGGAACAGCCGTTTAAGTTTCTTTACTAACCTTGAATTATCTCTCACAAGTTTGGCTTTCATTTGTACAATCCCATCTAGCTTGGCTTTTTCCAAGTCCAACTTGACTATCAGGTCATTCCCTGCATTATCGTCCTGGCTCAGAGGAATAGTTAGAACAAACCAATTCCTTAAATCTCAGTCGTTGGTGTAAGGGTATTTACCTCTTTTTTGGTGAGCTTACAGTTTCCAACATCAAGATTACCTGCAAGGTAAAACCAAAACGGTATGAAATAATTGACATTTGACACAGTATACAGATCAATTTTGCAAATCACCAAAATTTCTTGTAGAATATAGCAGTTTGGTAAAAGTAAAGACTTGGCATCCTATTTAAGATATTATTGAGTGGCATTCATAAATTTTCATATAGGTTTTATATAATGCGAAATTAAAGGGAAATTTAGTATCATTGACAAACTATTCCACTGAACTTGAAAATTGTTTAACGGAATACCATCCATAATGATGCGACGGATACCAGGGCCGAAAAAAGCGTCTAGAAGAGTGTCAGCAATGAAATTCTAATGAAGTCTATCAAACACCATTTCTAAGTCTACTTTGATAGCCATCCATCCCTTCTTCTGTTTGGAGGTACGCATAGAATGAATAACTTCCTAGTTGACAATAACATTCTCCATAATCGACTGACCAACGATGAAGCTAGTTTGGTTTTCCCTAATCAATAAAGGGAAAATAGGTTTGAGTCGATAAATAATTATTTTAGAAAGTAGTTTGTAAATAACCGTGTATAGACTGATAGGACGAAAATCAACGAAAGATTCTGGATGATCCCCTTTTTGAATGAGAACAATAATGGTTTTATTTAGAGACCTCTCCAAGCAATTACCATTGAAGAATTGTATCATATTGCAAAGAAATGGACACACTTTGCTCCACTGTTTTTGAAAGAACTCCGCATGTAGGCCATCTCATCTTGAAGACTTAAGGGGAGCCATTTCCTTAAGAGCTTCGTAGATCTCTTGGGACGAAAGAACCAAATCAAGAGACTGAAGAAGATAGGGGTCAATAGGAGGAAAAGTTCCAGAGGTCGGAAACAGACTAGGACTGCTAGAATCTCAAGAGAAAAGGCCAGAGAAGAAATTCACAGCCGCCTCTTGGAGAGTCGCATCATCATTACATCAATCGCCACCATTGATCTTTAGGGAAGAGAATTTATTCCTTTGTTTCCTACCAATGGCTCGACAATGAAATTACTTGGTATTACGGTCACCAAGCATGATCCAATCGGAGTGAGACTTTTGGCGCCAAATAAGCTCTTCTTGATCAAGTAAATTTTCGAGCTTAGTAATAAGAGCAGACTCCATATTAGAGAGGTAGGCCGAAGAGCGAGAATGAGAAGCCTTTTGAATTCCTTGAATTCGAGCCATAAGAGTGTGCTTTTTAATTAGCACCAGTGTAGCCAAAGATTGTTTTATTCCAGTTATCCACAACTGCAGTGAAGTTGGAGATGGTATCCTTCATGTTAGAAGATAAATGCCAATTATCATAAACCATTCTACTGAAGTCATCGTAAGCCAAGCAGAGACATAACAAAACGGACTAGAAGAATTCCTTCTCGGAGAGTGTCCCACTTGTAAGAGAATCGGCATGATCGGACCGAAAACGAAGAAGATGTTGGACTTCAGAATCCAGATAATTTTCATCCCAATAAGAGTTGCAGATGAAGCGATCAAGGCGAGCATGAGCAAATCCTCTAGTCCACGTGAAGTCTGGATCCTGATAACCCATATCTCTCAAGCCATGATCAAAGATAAGATTTTGGAAAGCACGACTCGAGGTGGTTGAAGCAGCACAACCCTTTCTAGCCAAGTCAAAAACCGTAGCATTAAAGTCTCCAAAAAGAATCCAAGGAGACCGAATGGAAGCATCAATGTGGCGCAAATGAGGCCATAAAAGCTTACGACCTGACGCTGAAAGACTCGCATAAACAACAGTAGCATAAATAATATTCTTGCTCAGCTTACTAGTGATACGACAATGCACAAATTGATAATGATTGAGGATAACTTCCACAGAGATAGATGCGTACCAAGTTATCCAAATCCCACCTGAGAACCCCACAGCTTCAATATGGTGAGAATTAGGGAAGCCTAGAGAAGCAATAACTGAATACACTCTACGACCACTAACAGGTGCTTTTATAAACAAGACCAAGTCCGGTTTATAATCACGTAAGAATTGTTTGGCAGCGGGAATAAACCTCGGATGCCCACAGCCCTGAACATTCCAGGACAATTTTTAGATTCATAAAAAATCAATGGAAGGTAGAAGGGTACGTACTGCTCTTATTCAAGCATTGCCACGGCATGGTCGCTATCCGCCACTGGGGTAAGAACTTCTTGATGATCAGCAGAGATAGTAAGCGTTCCAGGGAAAAGAAGATTGGTATCCGGCTGCATTGCTAGAACCAGATTCACATTATTTGGAGGTTCTCCCAACGGGCAGTTTTATGTATTATCAGCAACTCGACCAATCTCCATGTGTGTTGCTAATGTATTGGGATCATCATTCTCATCCATCACTACTACGGAGTGCTTTCAACTATCAAGGGCATCTGAAAGAGGCGCTTTAAAAGCCATGCGCGAACTCCCAGCTTTGCCATGGTTTCGTGTAAGAAATGGGAAATCAACAACGGGTTTTCGGACATTGATTGCTTTCGGTATGTTTGTGTCTGAAGATGTTTTTCCTTTAGTCCTTGACTTTTTTTCTTGGGATGAGCTATAGGATTATGTGGCGGATTTTTACTTTGTGGTTCTTGAAGACACTAGTTTTTTTCATTTTGTTTTATTATTATTATTATTATTATTATTTATTATTATTATTATTATTATTATTATATTTTTTATTTATTTTTATTAAATAAATATTACAGGCCCATTTTACAAATCTGAAAGCCCAACAGATGGCCCAGTTACACGACCCAAAGATATTAATTCCGAAGCCCAAAAGTGACCGACCCAGATCCAAGAGCCCAAGGGAAACCCTAAACCAAATTAAGGTTTGTGTCTCATTCCAGCAGCCGCCTCTTCTATCAGCCGTTGGATCTGATTAGATCCAACAGTCCCCAAATGCACCAGATGAAAACCCTAGGGTATCATACCCTAGGGCCACGTCCCAGCCGCCAGTTCAAGAGTTCCAGCAAGTTCCAGTCGCCCCACATCAACACTGTCGACACTCCCACTGCCAGGTAACCAAACCCGCTTCAGCCACGACGCCGCCGCCTCGCCAGAATGCTCCAGAAGACCCAGATGGCTACCCACGTTGAAGATATATGGTGAGTCACCGCCATAGCTTGGTGACTCACAGAAGACCGCTCCATTACCCGGTCCGATGAACGTCTCGACGAGGCTATAAAAGCCTCGACTTACCTGCAAAAAAAAGACAGGGAGAAAGACAGCATAAAACAGAAATGAGAAAACAAAAATCTACCAACGATCCCAGTCAACAAGAAGCCAAAAAGAAAAACAAGAGGAAAAGAGAAAGAAACTTACCTCGTTCGTCGGATTCGTTATAAAACCAAAGGTAATACCTACGGTCTCTTTTAGATCTAGGAAGATCTATAAGGTTTTAGGGGGAAAAGAGGCCATATTCGACCGTAGGGTGAAAAAAGGGTGATTCGGGGTTATTTTCATGAATTTCGGACACCAAGGACGGTGGCCAATGACGTTGGCCGGCGACGGCGATCGACGCAAGAATAAGGTGGCCAACGGTGGTCGGTTTCCCTCCGACGAGGGAAACTTAGAGATAGGACAGAACTTCTCTCTTTAGAGAGAGAAGCAAACCAGGCAAATGAAACTTTTGGCCCTTTTTGGGCCAACTTTAGGGTTTAAATACCCTCCCCGAACGATGTCATTTTGGGGAGGGGTATTTGTGTAAATTCCCATGTGGTCAAACCACACGCGCAGTCACTCTGACTTTGTAAATTTCTATTTTGGTCACTGAAATTGAATTTTGAAACTTTTAATTCAGTCTTATAGTTTTATTTACTTTATAATTTAGTACCTGATATGCTTTTATATATTTTAAGGTAAATATCCTATTTAGTCCCTTAGACTTTAATAATTCATATTTTAATCACCGATTAAAATTAAGGGCTAATTACACTACTAGTATTTATATTTTATGATAATTCTAATTATGTCTATTAATTGCTTATATTTTATAATTTGATCATTAAGTTTTATATAATTTTAATTTTTACCATAAGTTTTATTATTTTTACATTTTAAGCTTATATATTTATGAATATGATCCTATAGTTTTTAATTTCTTTTGATTATTATTTATTTACAATTTTATTTTTTGTTTTTTATATGTTTAAATTATTACTTTAATTATTATTTTATATATATATATATTTGTTTAAATAATAATATTTATTTATTTTTTAATATTAAAGAAATGGGTTGTCTTAAAGCGCCTAGAAGTCATTTTCTGATATTCTTAAATAAATAAATATCCTATTTTTTTATAAATAATATATTTTAATTATTTTTATAGAAATGTTTTATTAATATTTATTTATTTTTTTAATATTAAGAAATGGGCTGTCTTAAAGAACCTAGAAGTCATTTTCTGATATTTCTAAGTAAATAAATATCTTATTTATAAAAAATAAAAATTAAAATATAATTATATTAATAAATTTGAAATAACAGGATTATAAATTAAATATATTTTTGAATTTTTAAATTTCCAATAATAGAGACATTTTATAATTAATGAGTACCAATTTTGGGCGTTGTGGGGGTGTTAATCCTTCCCCAAACGTAACCAACCACGAATCCCTTTTTATTTCTAAAAAGAATGAATTTTTGATTAAACGCATATCAGTTTATCTTTTAACTGATGTTTTTTTAGAAACTCTTTTAAAAGATAATTTTTAGGTATTCGACCTACTTAACCCAAAAAGGTCAATGGCGACTCCCAAAATATTTTTTAAATCAGAATCATTTTTTATCCACATTATTTTTCTAGCCAAGTAAAATTTCGTGCCCGAGCGAAAATCGGTTACGACAATTTGGCGACTTCGCTAGGGACCTGGTCAAGCTTTAAAATCAATTATAAATTGTCTCTATTAATTAGAAATTAAAAATTCATATATTTAATTTATAATTCTTTCTTTTCAAAATTTTTATATATACTTATTATTTTCATAATATTTATATGTATATTATATTTTTATTTTTATTTTTATTTTTAATATTTTTATTTTATTTTCAAGTATTAAATTTCATTATTTATTTGTTTGTCAGAGGTTTGAACATTTCTCCTCACACACATCACGTATACATTGCATAACATAAGCTTTATAATCAAGCTTGTCCCTTTTAAGTGGGAGTGAAACGACGTCTTCATGAGAATTTATTCTCCGTGTCAGACCTAGAAAGTAGCTTTCAGGGTTCATATGCTCTATGTCTTCGTGAGAATTTATTCTCCGTGTCAAGCATAGGGAAATGTGTCCCCTCAAATTGAACTCGATCCGTTTAAGTCTGTAATGGACTAGGATTGAGAGTTTGGCAGCCCAAGGGGATACCAACATGGACAGTTCGAGTACCTTTACTCCTAGAACTGAAACCCTGCATATAATAAACCCTAGAAATTCACCCAATCTAAGACAATGTCGAAACTTTGTCCATAGGTGTACACAAAGGAGAAATAAGCTCTAGCTTTTAATTTATTTGATTTCATTCTAAATAAATGCCTGCAAACTAGTAATCATGCGGTTAGGTTAATTTTTCCAAACAAAACATGTAACTAGAAAGCATGAGGTTAAGATTTATACCTTGATAGATAGAATTTTTTTTCTTTTCATTAGTTCGTACTAACCATTTAATATTTTCTTATTTTTCCCATACATTTTATTTTGCTCTAACTTGTTTATATTGATTTCTTTTGTTTGCATTGCATGATCATGGCATAACCAAAAGGTGTTGACTTGAAAGATTGTTCATCAAATTGAAAAGTTTTCATAAATGGACAAAAAGTTTTATGATCAAACAAAATATGACATAGCCAAATAAAGACATCCTGAGGAAACTCCGAGGATAGAAGCGAGCTACACACACAAAGATCATGTTAGATTGATACCAAAAGCATTCTACGGTAAGAGTATCAGTAGGGGCATTCAGAATAAAGGAGGTTTTTTTATGAAGCTCAAGCATGTTATTTGAAGGATCAAAACAAGAAATTGAGCACAGAAATGAAAACCATGCATGAAGATTTCCAACAAATCAGTCAAGTCTTTTAAAATGCTGGCATAGGAAACACCCCAGAAGAGTGGATAACAGGGTTCACAAGAGAATGTCATGGAAGAAATTGCAGTCTAGACAAGCAATATGGCCCATAAGCTGATAGACTAATTTGGATTTAGAGAAGAAAATGATAAAGTTATCCCCTATATGTAAAGTTTTGTTGAAGTTAGGACTGAAAGTTGTCCCCTATATGTAAAGTTTTGTTTGATGCATCGAAAATTTTGTGTTCAATGAAATCTGTTTTAAGATGATGACTCTTGAGTAACACCTTTTCATACATGCATTTGCATTTTGCATCTTTGCATTTTCATTTTGCATTCGTACTTTTATGTTTTCTTTTGTATTTCACAATTTGCATTCTTATTGTTACATTCACATATTTACATTTGCACTTGCATTTTGCATATTTGCATTTTTATGTTTATATTTACATTTTCATTTTTGCATTTGCATCTATGCATAATTACATTTTGTTTCAAACTATTTTACATGCATTTAATCATGAAAACATGGAAATAATTCATGGAGGATTCCATGACAGAATTTATGAAATCAAATTGGGGCTAACTTGGTATTCCTAAAGAAGGATAAGTGCCATGAATGAGATTTTAGCCAGGGTTGGTAGAATCGAGAAACTACAAGAGCAACTTATCAAGACTCAATAAGAAATGACTGATCATGCAAAAAAGTTCCATGCTGATTCAACAGAACAAATGACCATGTTAATGAGCATGATGAATGATATGATCCATGGAGAGAAATCCTTAGAGGATCCCGCTGTAAAGGCTGTGAATAAGGTTCTGAATGATAATGATGAGTTCGAAGCGATATTGCATGATGATCAAGAACCTATTAAAGAGCATGGTAATTCAAGACAGTTTCAAGATTTGGTCCCAAGAGGCATTGGTGAATTAATGGTGAATGAAGAATCAATGAAAGAAAAAAGTTCACTTGTGAGAGATAAGCTTTACCCAAAGAAAAGGGGCATAGAAAAGGGTCAAAAGTTGATCAAGAAGAAAAAGAATGTACAAGGTTTTCAATTTCCTCCCTTCCACTTTTCAAGTGAAAATTTACACTCAAAAATACTCTCATCAGAATTAATTACTCCACAGTATGTCCAGCCACAATGGCCTCCAAATGAGAAT